AAAAAAAAAAAAAAAAAGAGTATTTGTGGAAGTTAGAGAATACATGATAGACATTGAAGATATTCTGGCTGGTTGGCTGAATGGCCTGGGTATGCCATGCTAACTTTGAGGTCTTTAAGAGCCAAAATATTCATCACTTTAAGGCCAAAGAGCTTCTAAATGCCTTTTTCTCCTGTCCTATTAAAGATAGGATGTTTCCATACTGAGCAAATAGCCTGTGGGCTTCCTCTCTTTCTCCTCTTATACTCTGGAGCTGTTTAGAGCCCTTTCATTCATGGACAACACTTCTTCTATGAAGATGCTCTCAATTTTTTCTCCCTACATGACACATGGCAGCTGCTATCAACTGACTTTGTGACTCCTGCTCTGTTCTGCCCCATCATGAGCTGTCTTCTCCTCAACTAATGCTAAATCCCTCATGGTGAGAAACATGTCTGACTGGTCTCACATCCCCCACAGTACCTGGCACACTGCCTTGCACAGAACCAGTGGGAAATGCTGGGTACGATTTGCCACACTGCTTAGTGTCTGGTCCGTCTTGAGCATGTGGGTCAAGTCTCATGATGCTATTGCTTTTTCAACCTATTTTCTCCAGAAAGTAATATTTGCTCCCTATGCTTTGAGGTTATATTTTTGCTCCTGAGTTGGCTGAATAACACCACGAAGGTTTGTGATTTCAATTAATTTTTTCTGAGCCTTGCATAAACTCTGAATGTGAAGAAAAATGTCCAGAGTAGAATAATAGAGTCTATTACCCTGTGTATTTAACTAGGGAGAGTTGGTGACAGGTAAAATCTATTTTGATTGTGTCAGTTGTTGGCTGACACATCTCTATCCTTTGTGATACTCATTTTTAAGTCACAACTGGAACCAGACACGCTGATCATTTCCACTGACTTCTCTAGTCCCGTGTCTTCTACCTTTTGTTGCAGCTCTGTGCCAATGACATATTGGATAGTGATGAGTTCATTGAGAGCATTTCTCTTCTCCCGGAACCAGAGAAGACCCTGCACACTCAAGACACTGATCACCAGCACAACTCAAGCCATGGGGAGGAGGAAGGTACCGTGTCAGACTGGTCTGAGGGGAGGGCTCACTACACATTTCATACCTATGCAGCAGATACCCCACAATGTACTCACTTTCCAAAATGTTTTCCAACATTGAGCATCTCTTCTCTTAGCCTTAAAGGAAGATCCCCCTAGCAGTCTCCTGGAGGAGAGGAAATCAGATCAGCTGGGCCTGCCGCAGACTCTGCAGCAGGAGTTCTCCCTTATCAATGTGCAGATCCGGAACGTCAATGTAGAGGTAAGTCATAGCTTAAAGAGCCTGTCTTATGACTGTTCATGGCAGTTTGTGGGAGAAGGGGCTATTTCAGCTAGGATTTCAGCTAGCAAATAGCTTTGCAGCTCTAACAGGTGAGTCTCTCTGCTGGCTATCTTAATTCCTAGATATTTTCTTTTCAAGAAATGGATGTTTCCCAAATTCAGACCTCCCACCCTTGCAGTACTGGGGTTAGAACCCAGGGCTTCATTCATGCTAGGCAAGCAACTACCCCTGAGCTGCAACCCGAGGCCCAGACTTTTTTCTGTCTCATTCTGTTCTCCTAGGATGAGCTGAAGCATGTGCTCCTCCTTAGGTGCTCTAATACCTTGTTTTGCTACATATGACACCACTTGCTCTGGCCAGTCCCCATTATTGGCAGAGTTACTGGGGAAGTTAATGCACAGGTGACTTTGGAATCCCTCCTGACCCCTCAGGCTCTCCGCACTGTGCTTACTACTGTCCTTTACAAACTGCTTATTTTCTTGCTGGTTTAGTCCACAGTAAGAAGGTGGGCAAAACCTCTTTATTCACTTAGCACATGGAACCATTTACCCTTTCACTTTTGGGCAAGTATTGAAACTGTTTGCTTCAGAGAATTGCATGTCTCTCCAGGAAGGAGTTTTAATGCTTGGTTAGTTTTTCTTTTGCCTAGATTCAGTTAGCTGTAGGCAGAGATATATACCATTACGTGACTGTCTCACAATTCTCTAAGCAAGCATGGTGCCGCACAGCTGTAATCCCAGCACTTGGGAACCTGAGGCAGGAGGATAGAGGCAAGTTTGAGGCCAGCTTGGGCTATGTAGTGAGTTCAAGGCCAGCCTAAACTACATAGACCCTGTCTCCAAAAAACAAAAGCAAACAAAATAAAGCTGGGTATGGTGTAACATGCCTGCAATCTCAGCACTTGGGAGCCTGAGGCAGAAGTATTATTGCCAGTTCTAGGTCAGTTTGGGCCACATAGTGAGTTCAAGGCCAACTTGAATTACATAGTGATTCCCTCTTCCTCCAAAAAACAATCCTTTAGTAAGTGTTTTACCTCACTTTATGGATGAGCAAACTGAGATACCAGAGGTGAAATGACTTGTCCAAGGTCAGCAGCTATTTGGTGGAAGAGGATAATGTTTGAATCCAAGTCTCTGGCTTTCTGGCATGTTTGCTCTTTTCACTGTCCTCCAGCTGCCCTCTATAGTTGGCAGCAAACAGAAATCAATAGATAGTTATCTATATTAACTCAGCTAATACTCCCTTTGGCCTAATTGAGAACCAGCCATGTGGCTGTGGTTTAAGAAGGAGATCTTCATTCTTTTCCTCAGGGGTCCCTCTTAAAAACTATTAAGATATAATTCACATGCCACAAAATTCACCCTTTTAAACTGTGCAATTACTGGTTCTTAGTATAGTCACAAAGTTGTGCAACCATCACCACTATCTAATTCCAGAACATTTCATCATCCTAAAAAACATCCCCTTTCTCATTATCGGTCACTCTCCACTTGCCCTCTGCTCAGCTCCTGGAAGCCACAAATCTACTTTCTGTCTGTGGATTTTCCCAGGAGTACTTTTTGTTCTTTTTGATACCAGAGATCGAACTCAGGTCCTTGCACTTGCGAGGCAGGCAGCAGAACCAATGAGCTAAATCCCTGGCCCTTCCCAGGAGTACTTTTTAAGTTGAATCAGGTTATTTCTTTTAGTTTCTTCCTGCTTTATTTTCTCATCTCAAAGTCAGTATGACAAGTTTTAGCCAACTTCACAGCTTTGAGATAAAGCTTTTTTAAAAATCAAAATACTTGAATTTATTAAATTAGTACTAAAATTTTAAAATCTGTTATGAAAATGAAGTATCTCCCAGACTCATTTGTCTTTGTAAACTCTCTTCCCTTTACTCAGTTTCCAGGAACAGGGAACATTCTAGTAGCTTTCTTAAAACTGTTTGCATCTTGCTGGGAGGGTGGAGCTCAGTGGTAGAGTGTTTTCCTAACATGTGTAAGGTCCTGGGTTTGAGCCCTAGCACTACCAAAAAAAAATGAAAAATCCATTTGCATCTGAAGACCCTTTGCAGTTTGTCTCCAAAGCAGTTGTGGGCTTGTGTCTTGCAGATGGACGCAGCGGATAGGAGCTGCACAGTATCTGTGCACTGTAGCAACCACCGCGTCAAGATGCTGGTGAAGTTCCCGGCGCAGTACCCCAACAATGCCGCCCCTTCCTTCCAGTTTATTAACCCTACCACCATCACGTCCACCATGAAAGCAAAGCTGCTAAAGGTGTGGCCCCAATTTCTCCTTGCTTTTGTAAGATGAGCTCTGCTCATGTGCATCAGTGTCTAGGCTGAGGAGGGAAATAGAGTGAAAACTCGGATAGATGAGATGTGGGAGTCATGTTTCCCACATTGGCCTTTTACTTCCTGTAGATACCATTCAAGGAGTGGTCCTTAGCCTTTCTATTGGATCATGGATACCTTTTAGAAATTTAATGAAAACTGTGGACCCTTCTTCAGAAAGATTTGCACAAATGCTGTATATAACTTCAGAAATACTGCATATAAATGTTTAGAATACATATATGCTCACAGATTGCATTAAAGCTATACATTAATCCAGGTTAGGAACCCTGCAATATAATTTCATTTATGTAGAGACAATAGGTAAGATGTATTCTGAAGCTAAAAGATATTTGATAATCAGAAAAAAACTGTATATGATCGTTGAAAAGAATCAATCCTGTAGAAGGAGCCAGCATTATCCTGGTGAGAGGCTAGCTAGCCACAGGCCAGATGTGTGAGGGATAGCAGTGTTTGTGTGTGGCCAGCACAGCCTGGTGGCTGGTCTTCAACCCTGCAGGTTCAGAAACTTGATATGAGGAGGTGCAACCTTTATTTAAAAAGCACATGGAGCAAGGTGTGGTGGTGCACACCTCTCATTCCAGCACTTAGCAGGGTAAGACAGGTGGATCAAGAGTTCAACTCCAGCCAGGGCTACAGTATAGTGAGGCCCTGTCTTAGAAAAATAAAGTAAAAAAATCATGAGCCAGGTGGTAATACACTTTTTTTTGGATTGAGCAGTACATGAGTGAAGGAACTAAAATGTCCTGACAAACCCAAATTGAGTGTTGCATATCCTTTGCCCATTTTGAATCATACATACGTGAGTAGTCTGTATTGTGGTATGATGTGTAACCAGAAATTTTCCAAGTGGCTTAAGAATCCCTGAAATCCTAATTACTTAGATTTTGTGGCATAGTATTTGGCACTTTAAACTTAGACTCTGTTTCATTGCTTATTTTAGACATACAAAAAAGATGGATTTTTTTTTTTTTGCATTGGTGTAAAAAGATAAGCTTATGGGAAGTCTTTAAAGGTATAGTTCAGCTCTGTCCAATAGAAATATAATGCAGGCCACATGTAATTTCAGATTTTCAGTAGCCACATTTTTAAAAGTTAAAAAATTTTAATATATTTTAACTTAATCCAGTATATCTAAAATATTCTCATGTAACATAAAATCAGTATAAAATTATTGAGATAGTTTACAGTTTGTTAGTTCTTTCCCAAGTCTGTGATTTTTTACAGCATCTCTTGCTTTGGATGAAGCACATATCATGTGGTCCAACTCATATGCCCACCTCAGTGGATGCAGGTTCCTGTCAATAGCATGCTAAATGTTAGGATTTATTGGTATTTTTCCCCTGCACATTAGGACTTATCACTTTAAAGGACCAAAAAAAAAAAATCCTGTTTTTACTGAGGGAAAATCTGTTCCCCCTGGCTTGCATCTCCAGAGCAGCTTTTCATCCTGGCAAGCAGGTGTTGCCTCCAGGGTGCTGCCATTTCTTGTGAACAAGTGGGAGAGACCAAGGGGCAGAATTCACTAGAGAGAAAGGATGGTTTTTCTGTTACTAGAAGCTGCCCTGTCAAAACCAGCACATGTGGCTCCTTGGCTGCAAAGGGCTTTTCTAGGAGGCCCAGGAAGACATTGTTCTCTGAATCCCCACCCCGTAGGAGATAGGAGTGTGTTATGCTGGAAGCCTCAGACCCGGTCATGCTCCAGTCCTCCTGCGCACCATGCTTCTGACTACTTGGCAGTATAAAGCAACCAGGGAATATGGTGCTCTTCTTTTTTCATTTCTTTTTTTTTTTTTTGAGACAGGGTCTCGCTTTGTAGTCCAGGCTGGCCTTGAACTCACTGGGGTGCCGAGGCTGTCCTCAAAGTTGTGGCAATCTTCCTGCCTCAGCCTTCCAAGTGCTGGGATTACAGGCATGTGCCACCACTCCCAGCTAGTATGGTGTCATTCTTGACTGTGTTTTGGGCTTTTTCTAGATCCTGAAGGACACCTCGCTGCAGAAAGTGAAACGCAACCAGAGCTGTTTGGAGCCTTGCCTGCGTCAGCTCGTCTCCTGCCTTGAGTCTTTCGTGGTGGGCATCGTGAAATCGTACCAACTTATGCGATGTATCCGGTTTCATTTCTTCTCCCTGCAATCTTGGGCTCCCTGATTTTGTAACATTGTACCCCTCTTTTTTTGGTACCAGGGATTGAACTTGGGTCCTTCTGCTTGCGGGGAAGGCGGCAGAACCACTGAGCTAAATCCCTGGCCCCTGTACCCCTCTTTTGTAATTTAGCTTTAAGACAGGTTGTGGTATTTAAATTTACATTTTAAATTTCAGAACCAAGAAGACAGCACTTCCAGCAACCCATTTGCGCTCCCAAACTCTGTCACACCACCCTTACCAACATTTGCACGGGTCACCACTGCCTATGGGTCTTACCAGGATGCTAATATCCCCTTTCCTAGGACTTCTGGGGCCAGGTTCTGTGGAGCAGGTTGGTCTCTGTGGTTCTCTGATTCTAGATCTTAAGAGAGTACAGTCAAGAGTGTTGTGTGTTCTATGAAAGCATCTTCATCAGAAAAGATTTTATTACCAATAAAAGGATATACAAAAAAAAAAAAAAAAAGAAAAGATTTTATTTAAAAAAAAAAAAAAGAAAAGATTTTATTTAAAAAAAAAAAAAGGCCGGGGATTTAGCTCAGTGGTTCCGGTGCCTGCCTTGCAAGCGCAAGGTCCCGAGTTGGATCCCTGGTACCAAAAAAAATAAAATTAAAAAAAAAAAAGAAAGAAGAGATTTTGTTTATATTTCCTGAGAATTCAAAAAGGGTGTGATGCCAAATTGGTGTGGAGGGGGGCATATCCTAAGAGTTTTCACCAAAAGTCAGACCAGTTTTTCATTCTGATGACCTTGGATTTGAGTCTACTCAGATCCCTGATTCTTATCTTAAGAGGATAAGTCTTCTAGCACAGATTCATAAAGTACCTGTGAAGACTTTATTCCATCTCTTGGACTCTGGCGATTCTGACCTTGTTCAGTCATGAACCTTTGCAATTTCATGAAACTAAACTGTATCTTATCTCTCAGGGATATTGAAATAGAAAAAAAGCTTGCCCGATCCTGCTTTAGGATTTTCTACATCCAGCTCTCTGACCTTGATGTGCCCGTCTGTGGTCTCCTTTGCAGGCTACCTGGTGTACTTCACAAGGCCCATGACAATGCACCGAGCAGTGTCTCCGACAGAACCCACTCCCAGGTGAGTCTGGAGATACAGAGGACTCTGCAGCCACAAGGCCAGAAGGGAGAAATCTGGAAAGGAGCACTGAGCCTATCTTTGGACAGTTTGTTTTAGTTCTTAAGTAAACTCCTGGTAAGATTCATTCAAGAAAGATCAAGGTTCATTAGATTGAAGGAAAGCTGAGACTTCTGCTGTAAGGTAACTATCAAACCACATGGAGTAGCTTGATGAAAGCTGTTATCGAAATAAGGGAATTTTTTTTTCCTTTGCAGTACTGGGGATTGGACCAAAGTTTTTCATTTTAAGACGGTCTCACTAAGTTCCCCAGACTGTCTTTGAATTTGTGACTCTCCTGCTTCAGCCTTCTAAGTAGCTGGGATTACAGGCCTGTGCCACTGTACCGTACCTGGGTGGCAAATTATTTTTTAATGTGCTTTTCTCCTCTTGCTAAAGGGTTACTCATTTTTTTATTATTTATTTTAATTGTTTAATTTTAAATCAAACTGAAAACATCATCTATAGTTTGTTGTTGTTGTTATTGTTAAATTCTTTTATTGGTACATTTTAGGTATACAACACAATTCCATTTCTCATCGGGGATCATCTATATTTTTATAACACTGATATGCCACTTCTAGCATTACCAAAATATGTAATGTTTAAAAATTATATAAGATGGGGCCGGGGATTTAGCTCAGTGGTTTCACTGCCTGCTGTGCAAGTGCAAGGACCCGAGTTCGATCCCTGGTGCCAAAAAAAAAAAAAATTATATAAGATGTTAGAAAAACTCAATTATGAAGTTTTACGTTAAAATGCCAAAGCCCCTCCTTTCCTTTCCCACGTGCCCAGGAGCTCCTGTTAACAATAGAACACATTCACGTCATCTTCATTATTTTTGTTGTGGGCTTTTTTTTTTTTTTTTTTTTGGTACCGGGGATTGAACTCGGGTCCTTGCCCTTGTGCAGCAGGCGGCGAAACCACTGAGCTAAATCCCCGGCCCTGTAGCACTTCTATTTTAAACATTAAAATTGTAACTTTTAAATAAAATTTTGCAATGTTAGATTAATCCTATGAACAACACCTAAATACAATTTTTTATTGTCCCCTTCTTACCTATATTGAGATAAGCTAAGATTTTTATTGGATATTTTTATTATTATTACTTCAAATAGTCAATATTTAACGAGTAGCAGTACTATTTTTGTTTTATTACTAATTTTTTGTAAGTAAATTCCCTAATCTTTCAGAGAGAGTTTGTAGGACTCACATTTTAATATATGAAGATGTGTTTACTTTGCCTTTTCAAGTAAATGTTTTGAAATTCTAGTTTCAAAATTACTAAATACCCTCTTAAGCCATTGAAGGTATTTTTTTGTATTCATTCTTACCAAAGAGAAGTCACACGTTATTACAATTCTTGCTCCTTACTAGGTAATGCCTTTTTTCTTCTTTGAAGGATTTTCAGTTTTTTAAAATTTTACCAAGACAGGGCCAGAAAATCTTTTTCAATCATTCTAATTAGAACTCTATTCTTGTCTTTTTTAAAGCTTTGAAATCAAAGCAAAAATTTCAAGTGTTTCCTCTTCTATTTTCTGTCATTCACTGACAATTTCAATGTGATTTTGAATTTGTTCAATTTATTTTCTTTCTTGGTGTGAAATATTAAAGCTCTTGGTGCATGAGGGTGTTTGCATGTGTGCAATGGAATTACATGTACCCATAATCCAATCTCAACAACTATCGTTTTCCACTTCTGTTTTGTTTCTACTCATTATGTCTATCCTGATACATCTATTACATAAATATTAAAGTGTATATATTTGCTAGAGGTTTTAAAGCAAATTCAGGAAAAATCATTTTACAGTAAGTAAATATTTTTAATAGATAAGGACTTTCATTTTAATTTAACTATAGTAAAATTATCATTCTTAAAATAATGAACAAAAATTTCTTAATACCACTTAGGATCTAGTTCATGAATTATTTTGTTTTTAATATCTATACCAGTTGATTTGTTCAAATAAGAGTAGGTCCACATGTGTTTATTTGCTACTTCTACTTCTTTGTCTGAGAAATGTTCACTTCAGATGCCCATTTTTGGATTGGGACTTTAAATTTGGAAGGGCTGAATTTTTTAAGTTCTTTACTATTCTAGATAGTAGACCTTTGTCTGAAGAACAGCTGGAAAAAATTTTTCCCACATTGTGGGTTGTCTATTCATACTGTTGGTGGTATTTCTTGCTGGGCAGAAGTTTTTTAATAAGATAATATCTCACTTGTTGATTCTTTGTGCTAGTTCATGTGAGACTGAAGATTTGTTCATGAAATCTTTTCCTATGCCAATGTCTTCAAGAGTTCTGCCTAACCTCTCTTTCGGCGGGTTTAGTGTTTCTGATTTAATATTTAGGTCTTTGATCCATTTCAATTTTAGTTTAGTGCATGGTGAGAGATACAGGTCTAGTTTTAATCTTTGGCAAGTTGAAACCCAATTTTTCCAGCATCA